TGGATGTGTATTCAACTTTTTTTCCAGAAAGAAGATTTATTATATAAAGGTCTCTCTTTAGCCTGCTGCAAAGAAGGCACTTTTCTTTTGGTTTCCAGTAGGCGACGTCTAAGCCTCTTGGATCCCTGCTTTATATAAAGCCTTAATAATGCCTTTTTTTCTTATAGATGTTTAATCACGCTCACTACTCTCAATCTCAGTCCCTGTCAGTGTACGCAACAGTTTCGGTAGTGTTTGCTCAGATTCCCCTGGGGCTCTGAGGTGTTCAGTCTCGGAGGTTATGGGGGGAGGGCCCCTCTGGGTTGGGGGTTGCGGGCTGTGGGTCAGCCTTAGTTTTGCAACCACCGCTGATAAAATTCAACTGTCGTTTCTCTGCCTTCTCTCTTCTCTGCTTTCTGCCCTGATGACTGGACCCTTTCACTGGCCGTGTGGAGCTTACAGCACTCCTAGGCAGGGCTGTTCAGGGAACTCGCTGCACCTTCTCCTCTCCCCCTCTTCCTACAGGGAGCTCAGGTGGCTGTGATAGGCAGCTTCTTTATTTCTCCTAGTCGTCTGCCCATCACGCGAGGGTCTGACCTGTGGTAGCTCTTATGCACAGAACCCACACTCAGACATGATGGTGTGCAGTTTGTGTGGTTTTTGTTGAGTTTTAGCTGTTCAGCTTATTGTTGTTTCAAAGAGAGAGATCTTGGGATGTCTCTCACTCCGCCATGTTAATCCAAACTCTACTGTTGAGTTTTGAGAGTCCTTTATAAATTCTATGTATCAGTCTTGTCAGATATGTTGTTTGTAAAAATTTTCTCCCATTTTGTAGCTTGGCCTTTCATCCTCCTAAGTGTCTTTTATAATATTTTAAATTGTTGTAAAATACACATAATGCAAAATTTATCATCTTAACCATTTTTAAGTGTATAGTTCAGTGACATTAAGTATATTCACATTGTTGGGCAGCCATCACCACCATCCATCCTAGAAGTTCTTCATCTTCCCAAACCAAAACTGTACCCACTGAACATTTAACTCTTCATTACTTCCCACCCCAGCCCCTGGCAACCACAGTTCTATTTTCTGTTTCTATGAGTTTAACTACTCTGGGTACCTCATATAAATAGAATTATACAGTATTTGACCTTTTGTGACTGGCTTATTTCATTTAGCATAATGCCCTCAAGGTTCATCTATGTTGTACAATGTTTCAGAATTTCCGTCCTTTTTTATGCTGAATAATATTCTATTGCATGTATAGTCACATGCTCCTAAAGACTGGGATATGTTCTGACCAATGCGTTGTTAGGCGATTTCTTCATTATGTGAACATCGTAGAGTGTACTTACACAAACCTAGATGGTATAGCATACTACCGTCAATGTACGAAACATCCAAATCTGTAGAGAATTTTTATGAATTTATTTGAGCCAAATTGACAAAATCTCAAAGAATTAAGAAAATCCTCCTGAGAATGGCAGTTTTGCAGCTTATTTTATACATTAAAATAAAAGGAAGAGACTTAAGAAAGGTTGCATGAAATCCATTGGTGCTAAATTAAGGGGGTGGGAGAAAGCGAAGTGGGGTGATATCTAAGACTGGATACAAAAATGAAATGCAGAGACATATACTTCTTTTACATTAGTGGCTACAGGATAGTTAATAAACATTTACAACACAGAGGTGGTATGCAGGCAACAAATAACGAAGAAGAGTCCTATGGTCTCCTGCTCTGGCTGTAGTGCCTTCAGGCGTCAGGAAAAGATTACTCAGACATTTCAAAGGTATGTTAGCTTAGAGGCAAAAGGACAATAGGCTCACTTAGGTAAAGATGGACTTTTGTTAAAGAAGCTACAGGCCTAGGATGTGACTATCTGCCATGACTCACTTTTAGTTAGGAATTTTTATATGCAGACCACCCTATATGGTGTGGTTATTTTCAGTCTCTGAGTTTGAAAGGCCCACATTACAGGCCTCCTCTCAGTATGTCAGTGTGGCCCCTGTTTCCTCCACACTACATTTCTAGGCTATGTGGTATAGCCTCTTTCTCTGTAGAGGAGGAAAAAATAATTTTTCCTCTGCCATTATGGATTCTTGGCTGAAGTATCCCTGTAATAAAAGGCAGATTCTCAGGAGAATAACAAACAAAATTTTAATAACATGCATATCTCCTGTATACATGGGAGAGACCCAGGAAGACTGAGTTATTTACCAAAGTGGCTGAAGCCACCACTTTAAATACCATCTGCAGCTGAAGAGGAAAGAAAATATGGGGGAGGCAGGAAGTCATTTATGGAAGGTTACCCGGAAAAGCACACAGAGTTTTTTATGCAGATTCGTCATTGCCTTCTGCATCCATTAAGTTTCTAGAGATGAGGTCATTCCCCTTTGTCCTGGTACAGTAAGAGAGGAGCCCTTATAAATGAAGATTTCTCTTACAAATGTAAATGTAACTTCTCCTTGGTTTTCAGAGCTTCTCCCATGTCTGCTATTTCTTAAAATTAATCAACCTAAAATGATTCTTATGTTAAATAGACATATTTTGGGGTAACAAATTCTGTTCCCTTACAGCTCCTAAGCTACAAACCTGTACAGCATGTCACTATACTGAATACTATAGGCAATTTTAACAATGGTAAGTATTTGTAATGCATTATGCTACCATGTTTTGATGTCTACAACATCAGTAGGCCATAGGAATTTTTCAGTGTCATTATGTTTATACATTCATTCATCAATGGACATTTGGTTGTATTATGGAAAAAAGGGGCCTGTCTGCCTGCGTGCATCTGAGTCAAAGAAGAGGTTCGTGCAGTTTTTGCAGCAAAGAAAGTAAGGATTTATTTTAGAGAGTTGCAAGTCCCAGAGACACAGGTGAACTAATGCTTTCAACAACCTGGCTCCCCAGGTATCTCAGAAGTACAGATTATATAGTGAAAAATCAATAGTCATGGAAACCAAAGGAGTTGGGGATCATGGGTGCTACTGATTGAACAATTAAATGGAGCTGGGGTAATTAATCATTGTGTTTGATTCTGGAGTCAGCCATGGCAACATCCCATCTGGCCTCATAGCTGGTGGGGTTGTTCTGCCTCGATGGGCCTAGAGCTAAAACATCTAAGGCTAAATGTTATTCTTAGTGTAACTAAAACTTATTGTCCTCGTGATTATTGACCTGAGGCTCAATAAATTTTATGTCCTGAGGCTTAATGATTAAAAGAGCAGGCCTACAAAGGTGTGAGAATAAGGATGGGGAAGGTAACTGAGTCACAGTGCCATTATCTGGGCAAGACCAGGCTTGAATCAAGGAAAAAAAAAAACTGTATTAAAGAAATGAAGTTTGCATGCAGTTGCAGTGCGGTTACAGTTGCACCTGCCTTTTGGATATTGCTTTATGAACATAGGTGTATAAATATCTCTTGGAGACTCTGCTTTTGAATTCTTTGGGATATACATGTTACCATCATTATTGTTCTTGGGTTCCCCAAGATAGAAATCAAGAGGAAACCCCAGAAAAATTTCCAGACAAATATTATTAAACTTATGCTTGAGCACAAGGGAGGCAGCACAGAGGAAAAGAAGGTCCTCCGAACTGACTTGGGGCCTGGCTCTGCTTGGCTGCTTTTATAAGCTGGGGACAAAGCCAGCTTTTTGTAAAAGGTGGGCTTTTGGAATCATCCATTTCAGGGTCAGGTGACTTTCTTTTCCAGCTGCATTGCCCGGTAAATATGTTTGAGCCTGTGCTGTGGGAGCAAGATGGTGGACTGCTCATTATCGCCAACCCAGGAAAGTCGTATAGCAGTCAAATCTTGATCAACTGCACAACCAGAGCAGTGTTTTGGACATCTGCAAGAAAGCAAGCTGTTAGAAGGGAGGTAAAATCAACTACTTCTGCATTTTTGCATAGAGAATGTTGGGGTGGTTGCATTCTTATAGTCAGTTTATCCAGTGCTCCTCTTGGCCATCAGGCATTCCTTTGGCCCAGGGTCCAAGTCCCTATGCTGTCTCATTCACACACAAGTAAAATTGGTAGAACATATGATAATTCTATTTTTTAATTTTTTTAGATACTCCATACTATTTTACATAGTGGCTGCACCATTTTACATCTCCATCAACAATGTATAAGAGTTCTAATTTCCCCATATCCTCCCCAGCACTTGTTTTCTCTTTTTTTTTTCTGACAGTAGCCATCCTCATTGTGGTTTTGATTTACATTTCCCTATGACTAATGATATTGAGCATCTTTTCACATGCTTTTTGCCATTTGTTTATTTTCTTGGAGAAATGTCTGTTCAAGTACTTTGCACATTTTTTAATAGAGTTGTTTATTGGTTGTCGAGCTGTGGAATTTCTCTGCATTCTGTATATTAACCCCTTAGCAGACGTATGTTTTACAAATATTTTCTCCCATTCCATAGGTTGCCTTTTCACTCTATTGATTGTGTCCTTTGATGCTCAAAAGTTTTTAGTTTCGATGTAGTCCAGCTTATCTATTTTTATTTTTGTTACCTGTGCTTTTGGTGTCATAGCCAAGAAATCATGACCAAATCTAAGGTCATGAAGTTTTTCACCTAAATTTTCTTCTGAGGGTTTTATAGTTTTAGCTCTAATGTTTAGAGCTAATGGTCTTTGATCCATTTCGAGTTAATTTTTGTATATAGTATTAGGTAAGGATCCAACTTCATTCTTTTGCATGTGGATATACAGATTTCTCAACACCATTTGTTGAAATAACTTTTCCTTCCTAGTTGAATTGTTTTGGAATGCTTGTCAAAAATCATTTGGCTGTATATGCAAGGGTTTATTTCTGTTCTGGTCCTTTGGTCTATGTGTCAGTCTTTATGGCAGTACTATACTGCTTTGATTATTATAGCTTTGTAATAAGTTTTAAAATCAGAAAGTGTGAGCCCTCAAATCATGTTCTTTTTATTATTCTTTTGGCTTTTGTCTCTTGAGATATCATATTTTTAAAATGGGTTGGGTTTTTTTTGTTTGTTTTTGTTTTTTGCCATTGAGTTTTTGACAGAGATTGCATTAAATCTGTAGATTTCTTTGGGTAATATTGATATCTCAACAATATTAAGTTTTCCAGTCCATGAACACAGGATGTCTTTCCATTTATTAGCATCTTCTTTAATTTCCTTCAGTAACATTTTGAGCATACAAGTCTTCCTTTCCTTCATCAAGTTAATTCCTAAGTGTTTTATTCTTTTTATTGTTAGTTTAGAGAGATGCAACAGTTTTCTTTGTGTTGATTTTGAGTCCTGCAACTTTGAACTTATGAATTGCTTTATAAGTTCAAGTTTTTGTGAGATCTTTAGGATTTTCTCTATATAAGATCATGTGATCTGTGAACAGAGATAATTTTACGTCTTTTCCGATTTGACCGCCTTTTATTTCTTTTTCTTTCCTAATTGCCCTTGTTAGGATTTCCAGGATTATGTTGAGTAAAAGTGGTGAAAGCAGGCATCCTCTTCTATCCTGATCTTAGAGGAAAAGTTTCAATCTTTTACCAGGAGTATGATGTTCACTGTAAGTTTTTCATATATAGCTTTTTTTATATGTTGGGGTAATTTCTTTCTGTTCCTGGTTTGTTGAATGTTTTTATTAAGAAAAGGTATTGAATTTTGTCAGATGTTTTTCTGCATCAATTAAGGTAGTCGTATAATTGATTTTTCTTCATTTTGTTAATGTATATTTCATTGATTGATTTTCATATGTTGGACCATCCTTACATTTTAGCAATAAATCTCACTTGTTGTATAATTTCAATGCGCTATTGAATTGTTTGCTAGTATCTTATTGAGGATATTTAAATTGACATTTATATGGGGTATTAGTCTGTGATTTTCATCTCTTGCAGTATCTTTGTCTGGCTTTGATGTCAGTGCAAAGCTGTCCTCATAGAATGAGTTTAGAAAGGTTTTCTTCTCTTCAGTTGTTTCAGAAGAGTTTGAGGAGCCTTGATGTTAATTCTTCTTTTCCTTCTATCGTGAAGAGGAATCAAGAATTGGCAGCTTCCTGTGACCATGCTGCACTGTGCCGGGGAGAGAATGGGGCAAGTGTGAGGAAAAATACCATGAAATTTCCTACCATTTTGTAAGGCTTTTTCTTGGTTGGGCATTTGCTTGGTTGCTACAAATCCTTAACTGGTTTATAGAGCTCCCACAAAGCTATTTTGGTCAATTCATTGTTGTTGATTCTGTGTTTCCTTGGAGGAACAAGGGATTAGAGTTTCCCGGTCTTCATCTTTCTGATGTCACTGCGCTTCAGCTTTCTTTAATATTTTTTGTTCATTTACCTTGAGTTCATTCTCTAGATAAGATTTGTTGGGTCGTGAAGTTTTTAGACATTTGCAGTATAGCTAATACTTTACTTTATCCTCACAAATGAATGCCAGCCTGGCTGATTAGAGAATGCAATATTCACAACTATTTTCTCTCAGTATTAAGGTTTGTTTTCAGTGTCTTCTTATACCCATTATTGCTGATAGAAGCCTCATGTCTTTTTAAGTCTCATTTCTTTTAGGTAGTCTGTTTATTCTATCTTTCAATCTTGACTTTTTGCAATTTATTTCTTTATCATCTATGTCCTGAAATTTCCCCATGCTGTTTCTGACATGGACCCTTTTTCCTTTACATATATGTAACATATATATATATATATATACACACACACACACGCACACATATATATACATACATATATATGTATACATATGTATATATGTGTGTGTTACACATATATGCATATATATATATATCAGTTCTATTTTTTAATCTAAAGACTTATGTCTTCAGCTTTATGAAAATACTATTTTTTATGGTTTCTGATATTTTCATTCATTCATTCTCTCTCTCTCTCTCTCTCTGTCTCTTATTAGATGCACGTTGCAGCTTCCAGATCTACCTTCTGAGTTTCTTAACTTCATTTTCATACTTTTCATATGTCTTTCCAGTTGTTCTTCATTCTAGGAAAATAATTCTACTTGATTTTTCATCTCTGATTCACTGTTCATGTCTCTCTATGCTATTCAGTTCATCTAATGAGGATATTTTCCTTGTTTTTGTGTTTTATTTTAAATTTAGAGTTTGAGTTTGTACTTTCTAGAATTTTAAATTATCTTTTTATTTTTGAAAACCATTCTCTCACACCTCTCTTAATTTATTTGCTCTAGAGTCTTACTTAAAATTTGTTTTTCAATTATGATGGACATACAATATTATATTAGTTTCTGGTGTACAACATGATTAAATATTTATATATTTTGCCAAGTGATCATCTCGATAAATGTAGTACCCATCTGACACCATACATAGTTATTACAATATTATTGACTAGATATTTCCTATGCTGTGGGAATAGTCACATCCTATTTAGAGTCAATTTCTTGTTTTTTATTCTTTCCTTAGATGTTTGTGCATACATTTGTTGAGTTTGATGAGTCTTTGTCATGATTGTGGCTCCTTTAGATAGCAGTGGTTCTTGGTTGGTTAAGCATCATTTTATTTTGGACTTCCTCTTACTGTTTAACTGTGAATGCTGCCCTTCTTTAGAGCAGGCTACCTCTGGTAATTCAGGGGAGAGTCAGAATGTGTTGTTTGTAGGTATATGCCAGTAACTGGCCTTATGGATCTGGGGGCTGTGTGTCCCTCTTATGGTGCTGCTCTGCCTTTTTGACCACAACACACACTTGCAGCTTCTGATTGGAGACAGGTAGCTGAGCCCATTGTTGGCACAAACCAGGCAGGCAATGGAAGAGGCCAATTCTCCATGAAACTCTGCTGTGCTTTCTGCACTAAATACCCTTTCAGTTGTCTCAGACTTCCTTCTGTTCCCATTGTCCCCAGGACCACCTCTGCTTTGTGCAGTAGACCTTTCCTGCCTTCATTTTTTGTTATGAGTTCTTCTGTCTACATAAATCATCTGCTTTTCATGGGCCAGGATTTCTTTTTAATATATGTTACATTTGTAGATTGTTTTCCAGCACTCTTGTACATTTTTGAAAACTGTCTCCTGAATGCTGGAATGAATCCTGTGATACTGGATTAGAGACAGAAATTAGTATGAACTCGTTTATTTTAATACGTATGCAGATAGATACAAAAATAAATATGGATATGTGTGCATACATGGGTTAGAAATTAGTCATTATTGTATGTACATACATATATTTCCTAGCTCCATCCACTAAGAGTATCTAGAAGCAGTACCACCCCAGTAGCACCTAGCATGACTAGTACCCAGACCTTGGTTTCTGATACCATTCTTCAATAAAAAGAACTGGCATCTTTGGGAAAATGGCTCATCCTAGGGCTGGGGCCCTAGAATACAAGATGAATCTGGAATATCTGACAGTGCCAGAAAGTAAGGAAGAGCTAAAAAGGAGGAGGGCATGTTGGAAGCGTGAACCAATCTGAAAGAGTTCCCAGTCCCCACAATTGTTCCCACCTGGAGCAATTTTGGCAACAAAATAAATAGTATGACTTCATAAAATAACTACCCATGAGTCCATACATACCATATAAATAAATGATTTAAGTCAGTAAATAAATGGGAGAGAAGGGACAACTCTATCTTAGAGAAAATTTTTAATTAATAAATATAGAAAGATGGACATATAAAATCACCATTAGAATGCCACAGTCATCCTGTTGCAGGCAAAATCCACTGATGAATTAGTGGGTGGCACTTTAAGAAGAAATAGGATCTTTGTATAGTCTCGAAATATCTGCCCAATTATTTGTGAATTTCTGTGGTATTTTTAGCATATGTCTTCAAATCTTTGATATGCTGTCCTCTAGGAGCCAAAGCTCAATTTCCCTCCCCTTTAGTGTGGACTGGGCCTAATGACTTACTTCTAACTAATAGA